ATCCAATGTTGAAGGTTTTTTCACAACAAAATTCTATTTACAAGAAATTCCTTCAGGACCCTAGAATTTTCTTGCAGACCTTGACCAAAAAAATTATTGCAAAAAGATTTCACTGCGTTAAATTTTGAAATAATTTCTATATGATTTTTGGGAGCCACTAAAAGTAATTTTTTAATTACAAAAGAAGGACAATGTAACAAAAATGGTTGGTTTGAGCTCTGATTAATCACAAATCGCAGTTCCACCAGTGATGAAGAGTCTCAGTCAGGAAAGTGGCCCTTTAAATATAAATCGTTAACCACGCAGGCTGAAACGGCGAAAGATGGTCCAGGTGCCATTTTCGGACTCACGACAGCGAGGGAAAATTTCAGGTCCAGGAGTTGATTAAATTGGCCCAAATCGGAGAAAAAAAAGGAGAGGAAGAAAGAAACTTGAACACGCCAGTTGCTGTAACCTGCGAGAAAACACGTGAAGAATAGGGATAAAAAGGAAAACTGAGCAGGTGGAACTTGAATAAATAGGTGATGGTATATATAGAAACAAAAGACTCGAAATTAGTCTTGCGTTTGCGCTACTGATGATGGAAGGCATTTTTCCCCCGACTTTATTCTCTTTCTCTTTTTGTTCATGGACATTATATTATAGTCGACATTGCGTGATGCAGTATTGTGTAGGTTTTTTTTATTTTTATATGTATTATATTCATTTTTAGCTATAGAACAAAGAACGCGATACGCGTTGATGATTCTTCAACAGAAATTTTATCCGACAGAGAAACTGGCTTGAAACCGGATCAGGAATAATTAAAAATTTCAGAGCCTGTTTTGCAGCTTTCAGAAAAATATGAGACAAAGGAAAACTAGTTTACAAATGGAATATTCCATCTGAGACTTCAGAGTGAGTATATTATACTCAGGCCAGATGCGGAAAATCAGATTTCCAGGAATATCCAGAAAAGCTGGGATAATCATTCCTGTATAGCTTAAATTCGCCATGGAAAGCTTATTTGTGCACAAACAAGCGTGAGAGAGAACATTCAAAATAGCTTCTAAACGGGCAAAGAACCGCTGTTCTCATGGTCCAAAAGTAGCAGAGCACTTTTCAAATTATTGAGACATAAATTTAATTAATTGTATTGAAATGGAAAAAAATTAATCACATAACAAAATAATGAGATGAATTTGCAGTAGTACAGTGCTCCCCAAGCAATAACCCATGGTCTGCAGAAATTTGTTGCTGGCCCATGGGAAATTTTTCTTCTCAGGGGAGCAAAGTTTATATGCATTTACATCAGTTGTGCATCTGTACATTTTGTTATGTATTCTCCTTTTCTTTTATAATATCCATAAACAGCTTATTTATTTATTTTCATCCTGATGTGATGGAATGTGTTTGGATAAATGCATGTGGGTGAGGAAGGGAGAGGATTTGGAAGGGGGGACATTGTTTGAACCTAAGCAGAAAAAAAGTTTGTTTATCAATTAAAATTCTTCAGAAAAATAAATTTATCAGAAGTAGCTATTGAATCTTTTATTTTCATCTGAAATTTTGGAAAAACAATGGCAGTTGAGATTATTGGATGAAAAATGAAAGTTGGCTTTTCCCCTATAATAATACTTCAGACAAATTTGTACCTGCTGAAATAAATTATTCTAATTTTTCATTGTAAAAAACCTTTCTTGAAGCCCCCATTTTCTAATTTATGAAAGCATTCCACTATATTGCTACTTCATTGGTTCTTGACTTTGTTTTTTCAAAAAAGCAGCATTTTTTAAATACCTGCCTTTAGTGTCAAAAATAAACTTTTGTGAGTTTGCAAAAATTGTATGAAACTTTCCAAGTCCACATACATATTTTTGGAAATTCACCAGCTGTCTGAAAATATTTTTTAGAAATTTGCCAGTCCAGAGGCCAAAAAAGTTTGGGGAACAATATGGCATAAAGACCAAATGTCTTCAAACACGTCACCATCAAAGAAATGCATGTAATCACAAAAACAAATATATTAAAAGGAAACAGACCTCTAGAGGAATTTCAACATCTACAAATCTTGCTCCAAAAGCCACTCAACAGCTTTTGTGTGCACATTTGCTCTCCAATTTCTTTGTTCATCGTCATTTATTCTTTGTATCTCCTTCTGTCTTTCTTTTCTTTGAGTTTAATTTTAGTGCTATTTAGGTGCATGAACGCAGGTGGGAATCATTCGCATCAACCACGCTTCATCTTTCAAGTTTACGCGACATTGCCCAATTCTTGTGGAATACTGTAGAAGTGTAGAGTATTATTGTTCAATGCTTGAGTTCNGAAATCATTTTTCCTTGAGTCCATTCATGTTCCAAGAACCAGTCACATCAGTCACATTTTTAAAGGAAAATTTTGAGACTTTACATTATTTGTTTGAAAAGTTTCAACAGAAGAAACCCAATATACTCCTCAAATATTTTCATGCAAAATATATTTTGTACTGTACTGAAATTGCCAAGTTGTTTGTTATGAGATTGTTTCAACATGCACTCTATGGGCTTTTTGCCTGGACTTGAGAAAAAGTTTGTTAAACAATTTGATTTTTGATACAGCAATTCTGTCTACAACAATTTCCACTTGATATTAAATTTGTTTGGGTCCCATAATTAGGTTCTCAACCAATGTTGAAGGTTTTTTTCACAACAAAATTGTCTTTACAAGAAATTCTTTCTGGACCCTAGAATTTTCTTGCAGAGAGACCAAAAAAATTATTATAAATTATAAAATTATAAAAACTGACCAAAAAAATTATTATAAATTATAAAAATTGTTTGGGTCCCGTAATTAGGTTCCCATCCAATGTTGAAGGTTTTTTCACAACAAAATTCTATTTACAAGAAATTCCTTCAGGACCCTAGAATTTTCTTGCAGACCTTGACCAAAAAAATTATTGCAAAAAGATTTCACTGCGTTAAATTTTGAAATAATTTCTATATGATTTTTGGGAGCCACTAAAAGTAATTTTTTAATTACAAAAGAAGGACAATGTAACAAAAATGGTTGGTTTGAGCTCTGATTAATCACAAATCGCAGTTCCACCAGTGATGAAGAGTCTCAGTCAGGAAAGTGGCCCTTTAAATATAAATCGTTAACCACGCAGGCTGAAACGGCGAAAGATGGTCCAGGTGCCATTTTCGGACTCACGACAGCGAGGAAAATTTCAGGTCCACGAGTTGATTAAATTGGCCCAAATCGGAGAAAAAAAAGGAGAGGAAGAAAGAAACTTGAACACGTCAGTTGCTGTAACCTGCGAGAAAACACGTGAAGAATAGGGATAAAAAGGAAAACTGAGCAGGTGGAACTTGAATAAATAGGTGATGGTATATATATAGAAACAAAAGACTCGAAATTAGTCTTGCGTTTGCGCTACTGATGATGGAAGACATTTTTCCCCCGACTTTATTCTCTTTTTGTTCATGGACATTATATTATAGTCGACATTGCGTGATGCAGTATTGTGTAGGTTTTTTTATTTTTATATGTATTATATTCATTTTTAGCTATAGAACAAAGAACGCGATACGCGTTGATGATTCTTCAACAGAAATTTTATCCCACAGAGAAACTGGCTTGAAACCGGATCAGGAATAATTAAAAATTTCAGAGACTGTTTTGCAGCTTTCAGAAAAATATGAGACAAAGGAAAACTAGTTTAACAATGGAATATTTCACCTGAGACTTCAGAGTGAGCATATTATACTCAGGCCAGATGCGGAAAATCAGATTTCCAGGAATATCCAGAAAAGCTGGGATAATCATTCCTGTAGCTTAAATTCGCCATGGAAAGCTTATTTGTGCACAAACAAGCGTGAGAGAGAACATTCAAAATAGCTTCTAAACGGGCAAAGAACCGCTGTTCTCATGGTCCAAAAGTATAGCAGAGCACTTTTCAAATTATTGACACATACTAAATTAATTAACATAACTTTACCTTTTTTTAATTAGTGTATTGTTTTATTACTCTACTTAAACGTCATCATGTCACGAGGGGTTCGTTATTGGGTACCAGACGTCTTTAAACAACGACCGGGTACCGAATAAAAAGAAGAGTCCCCTCGTTTCAAATATACGTAAATGTAGTCAACACGTAGACATGTAAAACAATACATAAGAGGAAAAGAAAATATTATAGGTATTTGTCGAATAAATAAATAAAAGTAGGACTAGTGATGGAATGTGTTTGGAGTAATGCATGTGGGTGAGGAAGGGAGAGGATTTGGAAGTGGGGACATTGTTTAAACCTAAGCAGAAAATAAAGTTTGTTTATCAATCAAAATTCTTCAGAAAAATAAATTTATCAAAAGTAGCTATTGAATCTTTTATTTTTATCTGAAATTTTGGAAAAACAATGGCAGTTGAGATTAATGGATGAAAAATGAAAGTTGGCTTTTCCCCTATAATAATACTTCAGACAAATTTTTACCTGTTGAAATAAATTATTCTAATTTTTCATTGTAAAAAACCTTTCTTGAAGCCCCCATTTTCTAATTTTTGAAAACATTCCATCATATTGCTACTTCATTGGTTCTTGACTTTGTTTTTGCAAAAAAGCAGCATTTTTTAAATAACCTGCCTTTAGTGTATAAAACAAACCTTTTTTGAGTTTGCAAAAATTGTGTGAAACTTAGCAAGTCCACATACATATTTTTGGAAATTCACCAGTCTGAAAATATTGTATAGAAATTTGCCAGTCCAGAGGCCAAAAAAGTTTGGGGAACAATATGGCATCATAATACAGACCAAATGTTTTCAAGAACGTCACCATCAAAGAAATGCATGTAATCACAAAAACAAATATATTAAAAGGAAACAGACCTCCAGAGGAATTTCAACTTCTACAAATCTTGCTCCAAAAGCCACTCAACAGCTATTGTGTGCACATTTGCTCTCCAATTTCTTTGTTCATCGTCATTTATTCTTTGTATCTCCTTCTGTCTTTCTTTTCTTTGAGTTTAATTTTAGTGCTATTTTCACAGGTGCATGAACGCAGGTGGGAATCATTCGCATCAACCACGCTTCATCTTTCAAGTTTACGCGACATTGCCCAATTCTTGTGGAATACTGTAGAAGTGTAGAGTATTATTGTTCAATGCTTGAGTTCACAATTTCACGCATAAAAACACATGTCACAGCACTTCGAATGCGACGACATCAACGAAGGGTGAAACCTAACAAAATTACGTGAAAAGAAGATAACTTATTAGTTCAGCTTTTCCGTTACAAAAGGGTCACTAAGTTGGCAAAATGTGACCAAGGAACCTGAAACGTAGTGAATATATGACACTCAGACTGACATATTGGTGACCATCTCTCTTTATTGTGAGATTCAAAGACTTCAATTTTGATGCGCAGTGCCAAATTCACTCAATTCCAACTGGAAAATAAGGTCACAATGAAAAAGGTATAAACATATTGACACATCTCTCAGCACACAGGCAAAAGACTAAAGCCCAGAGTTAAGATATCATTAAAAATAATTGAAGTAAATTACTGTATTTGCAAATAAACAAAGGCCCAAGAGGGGAAATTGGTGCATGCTAGGGATGTGTCTGCATTTCTGCACAGTGACCCTGCTGTTCACCTGAAGTGTACCAAAGTTTTTCTGTTGCACATGTATATCCCTAATGTGCACCAATGGTGTGTTCACACCAGGGTTACTCAGGGTCACATTCCTAATAAATAAGTTACACCGATGTTACAGTTGTTGCATTTTTGTGATACAGTACTCCTGTTATGTCACAATTGTGCACCAAATGTAGCCCTGGAATGGTAGCAAAATTTCATCTACAGAGGTGCATGCTTGTAGCCCCAGAATAGCCCATGATCACCAGTTGTGACCCCAGTGTGCACCAGTTGTGGGGTCACACAAAGAATAGCTCCCCACTTGGGGGATTTTTCATCTATGTTCCTTGTTATTATGAACCTCATATGATGGCTTTGGGATATTATGCCACAAAATGTTACATAAAATAAGAACTCAATCATTCCAAAGCCATCCAATGCAGCTTTTGTATTTGTAGGTTATCTAACTAAACAACAACAAAATCAGCAAATTTCTTCATTGACTAATTCTGATCTGGTCTCTGGAAGATTGATGACATATAGACAGAGGGAGGGATAGATCTTAGGCATGCAGACAGAGACAGGGAGAGAGAAAGAGAGATGGAGGGAGGTGTGAGAGGGACAAAAAGAAGACAGGGATATCCACACAGAGAGGAGGGAGTGAGGGAGGAATTTATAGTTAGAATAAGATGGAGATGGACAGACAGACTGTCAGGTGGGAGAGAGAATGAGGAAAGAAAGAAAGGTACTGAGAGAGAGTGGTGGGTGTGTGTGTGTGTGTGTGTGTGTGTGTGTGTGTGTGGGGGTGTGTGTGTGTTAATTTAGTGTCTTTCAATCTGGGGTGTCTGTATATGGCTGTTCATTTGGATCCAGGAAGGTTGACTCTCATACACACCCTCTCTCTCTGTATGTATGTATGTGTGTGTATGTGTTGTTGTCTTACACCAGTGGTTTTACAATTCCCAGGTTAAAACCCTGAGTGTTATAAACCTTTAAGAGGATAACCCTGGAGGCATAGACTCTTTTTACTTCAGTTCACTCCCTTTTTACTGGGTGCATCCCAAACCAAGTACGTTAAGTACTTAGGTAATTTAATTACAAGTAAAGTACCAGCAACGTTTCTTTACAAGTATTTTATTGTAGACCCAACATGCGCAATTCAACAATGCTCCTACACGGACTCTGCTCCTTTTCAGAGGGATTTATCCACTGGAGAAATTACAGTCTAGCAAGGGCTTTTATCAACTCAGGTAAACAGGCGCAGGGAGGTTAATGCTCAGACATTAAAGTCAAGCCAAACAAAAGAAAGAAAGGATGGAAAGTATTCCTCAACAGAGTTTCACCAAAAGTTAATTATATGGCGGTGGACTGCCAGGGGGCAATCATTAATCAAGCAATAGAGGCAGAAACAAGGTTACGCGTGCATGCGCAGCCATCCTGCATTAATGAGCAGGGCAAGGAATAAGTAGAGCAATTCAGCTCAGCTGATAACAGTGTGTTAGACTGACATACATACAGACAGAGAGAGAGAGGGTGTGTATGAGAGTCAACCTTCCTGGATCCAAATGAACAGCCATATACAGACACCCCAGATTGAAAGACACTAAATTGGTTCCCTGCTGGGTACCAGTATAGTAATCCCAGAAGGCTTTCATCACACTGAAGCAGTCATCAGCAGTGGAGCTATCCCAAGCAATAATTGTGCCCACATCTGAGCTGCAGATCGACCAGAAGGGATGGGATGGGAAACCGCAAATGGGATGAGAGAAACAAGCAGAGCCAAGCGTGGAAATGGGTCGTCACGGCCTTTTTGATGCTACCTCAAGCAAACACTGGGAAAGCAGTCTTTTTGCATGATTGAATGCACACGACGGATTCACGCAGGGGGAAATCGAATTGAATTCGCCTGCAAGCACTGCCCACTGGAAAGACATATACAGGGAGCTATATACAGTATAGAGGCTAATTATTCTCTCAGTGCTGGGCGCTTTTGTTGCACGCCTCCCAGCTCTTAAAAACTGCTGGGTAATTGTTGCGGAAAGCCCCGTTTTAATGCTGCTTCTCCTTTATGTTTGCTCCATTGCGGTGCTTGAATCGGGAACGTTATCCTGTCTCTTGAAATCGTATTGCAACTTATCTTCAAGTCGAAGGGGTTTTTTTTTATAGATATATTCGGAGTAGATGTGATTGTAAAAAAATAAAAGTAAGAAGTAAATCATGACGGAGCCCATAGCGTTGTAAGGCAGTGTTACCCAGCCTTTTTGGGCCTGCAGACCAACAGAGTTTCATTAAATTTTTGTAAGACTTGCAAATTTCCAAAAAATTCTCTGCAGATCTGGCAAAGATTCATGAAATTTTTGCAGACTCAAAAAAGTGTCGTTTGAGAGACTTCATGGGAGATATTTGAAAATTTTCTGCTTTTTTCCACAAATTAAGTAAAAAACCAATGAAGCAATTATGGTGGAATGTCTTTGAAAAATTAGAAAGGTGGGCTTGAATAAATATTTCTCAGAATAATCTTTTTTTAAATAGCTTATAGTTCAGCAGGTGAAAATGTGTCTGAAGTGTTATTCAAAGAAAAGTAACTGTTCATTTTTCATCAGATGATTTTAACTGCAATTGTATTTCCAAAATTACAGATACAATTGACCTCATTGCTACTTCTGATGAATTTATTATGCTGAAGAAAATTTCCTCCAGACTGGCAAAAAAAACTTCTGTGGATCATCACTGGCCTGCAGACTGCAGTTTGGGGAACACTGTTCAAAGTTTCTGCAATTTTTACAGAAGTTTTTTTTTTTAATTTACTGCCTGATAAGTGAAAACTTACCAGCTTCAGCAAGAATTCATCACCCATGCCACAAGTGTGACAAAAATTTGTCAGGCTAACTAAAAAAAGTGTAAATTTTTGTTACTGATATTCAAAACATTATTTAAAATTTAGAAAAGGTAATGGGTAAAACAAAACAAAAATTTCAGATGCAGTTATAATTGCCATTTATGCTTTTTGAGACAAATTATTTCACGCAGCATCCGGAATTCATCACAACGTTCAAAACATATCTAGAAATAAAATAATACTCTTGAGATGAAGTTTTGAGCACCGCTAGACGGATTAAATCTTCTTTTCAGCTGGATACTATTTTGGCAATAAATAATTACGAGCAGTAATCAAATTCTCCAAGTAGTAGCGCTAATTTAATTTTGCGGTGTTTTATATGGCTCTTCTGAGCCAGCAGACACAAGTAGGGAAGTCGGCCAAACGTACGTCATATATCCCGGTCATTAATTGCACGCCTCGGAAAATTCCGCCGAATTCTTCAGACTTTTACTGCACTGGAATTCGTGTCATGAAAGAAGTGGTTATCTTGCACCTGGCGCATTCCGTGAAATTATTTTGCAGCTTCAGATGATGAGCTTATTATTTTTTTAGACCACCATCTGTTTGCAAAATCGGCACGCAAACATTCCATCAATGGTTTCCTGTTCATTATTGTTTTATTTATTTTTTGGCAAACGTTGCGCTGGAATTAATTTGAAACATTTATCTTTGCGTGTTTTAGCATCAGTCAAATGGATCACACTATTTGAGGAACACTAAAAATAACTGTAGTCAAACCTCCAAGGACCAACAACAAAATTTGAGTTAGGGAGGTTTTGAATTCAGGAAATGAGCATTTTTGTTAGGGAAAAGAAATAAGAATTACAGGATATTGTAATTAATAAACTTCTGGGCCTGAAATTGCTTATTAATGAGTTCTTGGAATGCTGAATTTTGTGGCAAAAGTTTATTTGTAATCTTTTACTTCCTTCCAAAAAATATTAATTTTTTTTATTTTTTCTCTTTTCTGTCAATAAAATCATAGCCAAACGGCATCTAACAACTTTTTATTTATAGACAAGTTTGTTGGGAAAAGTCTTTGAGTTGGGGAGATTTTTACTACTGTACACTGTTTCTAATGGAATTCAGACTGGGCCTTTAAAAGAAAATGTATTGGAATGTTTTTGACTAAGGGAGGTTTCAGTTATTGAAGTTCAATTTATTTCATGGTTTGAAGTGATTGAATGTCTTTGGGGGGAGTTGGGTTGGGTGGGGGAGGGGGTTTGGATGCGTGAGTCTTGGTTGTGCCTTGGGAACGCTGAAAAGCGGCAAATAAAGTTTTCTGTTCATTCATTCATTCAAGTTCAATTGTATTTCAATAAATAATGCCTCAGATGTTGGCTGACATTGATTTGGTAAATGCAGAACTTGCATTTGAGATTGAAAAAAGTAAAGCTTTTTTTTTATGCACAAGAATAGCTCATACTTGGATATACAGTACTGTAACTTTCTTCTGCATGTGCAGTACTGTATTTTATTTTTTTATGCATTTATTTGTATTTTTATGCATTGTTGCTTGCGAAATTTTTGACCATCCAATTTTTTTTTTAAATTTTGTCCAGGAAAATCTATACAAGCATTTTTTTCTGTGTGTAGGCATTATTTTCTCAAACATTTTCCAAGTTCCTTGCGGTTAGATACAATTTCTATTCAGCACTGAGCACTCTGATTATAATTTCACGAAAATTCAAGTTTATACTTTTGATAAATGTACCGTAAATAAGTTATATTATCGTTTGTGTTGGAAATTGTGAAGCCTATTTTCCTCTCGCAAGTGGAATACAGTATTTTCTCTTCCACCACATAAAATGAGTAAAAGGAAACCTCACATTTTCCACACATCACAGATTGCACCTAGATGACGCATAAATACAATGCATATCATAGGTAGAACTTAGTCCACCAAAAATTCAGCATCGTCAGTATAAAAAACTGTGGTGGGAATGAGGATCAGAAATAGGCTGCGGACTCGTTCCGGAAAATCGCTGGGAAACTTTTTTCACGATCTCGCAAAAGTTTCGTCGTCGCTAATAAACGGTATTCTTTCCCGCGAATATAAAGTTTATTACATTTCCTTTGAATGCTTGTTTCTGTACCTTTTTTTTGTTTTTAATCTAACGAAGATTCAGACCCACAAGTTTTCATGATCCACTGCGTTCCGAAGTCGTATACCATGCTTATGATCGTTTGAAATACTGTACTGTACAGTAGTAGATGGCAGGCGATGAAAATAATCTGGCACTAATTCAGATTATTCATCGGCCCATCATTGTATGCACGGCTCCCTGCTAATGAGAATACGTCATAAAATAAAAATGATTTCATTTGACAACAAAATATGTACAGTATACTTCGTGGATCCAGAAAATAACCGACAATATTCCCCTAAACGCGAAGGCTAAAAATGCGTTTGGCACCTTTTCGTGGGAGTTATTTCTCGCAGACAATATTAATATCACAGTGTATACGCGTTCTCGTGTAATCGATTGCGACATTATCAGTTCATCTTTGAAAACGTTTGTTTACATTTCTGTAGGTTTGGTATCACTGCAGAATTTCGGTCGAGCAAATAATCTTTATGAAGGAAACAAAGTGCACTTTGTGGTTCATAGCAGTTCGCAAGATAATTATTGCGTTCAGGCGAGATGTCTGTCTGCTGTATATAAGGTGCTAATTTACCGTATAGATCCAGGTTTTCATGAGGTATGAAGCTCATCTTATAAAACCAATAAAGCTTCGTCGTCGAACAACATAATAAGGCTCTGAGGATAATTGTATTTTTCTTCTATAAAGAATAAGCTCTGATGCTGTGGAATAAAGACACGTCACAGCGAATCCAGCTCTCTGAATTGCACGAGGATCGAGAAGCACGTCAGAAACCCGCGGGAATTGAAGCACTCACGTTCATGTAAGAGCACGTTCGCCTTCGGTAGCTTTCCGCGAACTACTGGTGGGTTCCCGGGATCAGAACTTGTATTTTGCTCAGTATAGAACCACAGAAGAACTGCTGCTGGGAGCGGAGATACGGTCATCATCACGATCCTACGCGCGCGCAAAATGTCTGAAAAAAGCCGTCAGTGGAGGTACGTTATACACCGCTGTACTGTATACGTCTTGCGCATCTTTCCCGATCGTGTGGCCCTCACTCCTTGAAGCTGATGGACTTGCGAAATGCTGCGCAAGCGTGAGAGAGGATGGGTAAGACTGGCTGCTGAATGGTTTCCTGATGGTTGCGTAACGCTTGGCATGACCTTTCAGTCTTTGGACTCTTTGCACATGCATATCCTGCTGAGCTCAACGTGTTCTGTTCGGTGTGGTGCGTTTCCTGGTAGTTTTTGTAGCCCTGTAACGATTGCTGGCGCAGTTCGTTGTGAGAGAGATTCAAGCCTTCAAAAATATGGTACAGTAGACTGCTGATATATTGTATTGAGCTTTCCTTGAAGCGTGATCTGTTGAACTTACTGTATGCTACAAGCCAGTTTGTTCATTTTGCCCACCTTTCTGTGCTACATTGCCGTAAGGTGTCTCGTTTCAAGTTGATCGTATCGGCAACCCAGAAAGATTGGAATCGCTTGAGACCTGAAAATTGTTGGAAAGGACTGATGCAAGATTCTGCCCGGACAGAATCAATGTTTGCGTAATATTGTGAATTTTCCGTATTATTATCACGACCTGTTTTCAGTGCTTCGAAGTTGTTAGGGCGGGGAGGAATTGGCCCCAATTTTAATTCTTCGTCCGATGTGGAAAGTTTGTATATCTTCGTATGTTCATAAATGTCTGAAGTGATTTCAGTTTGAATTTGATTCAACAAGTGCAACCTCTTGCGCTGAGTGTAAACGGTGGGATAATCTGTTGGTTTTTCGACTGTTGAGGAGTCGGAATTATCCAGTGAAAAATTCACTCGCACTTCTTCTTCTGATAGTTTGTCTTTCAGGATCTTCTAGAACGTACAGCCGGGCTGCATTGTTGTTCTTGAAGACCTGTTTGTGATTTTTGATCAAAGTTACCATGCCGAACATCAAACTTTTTAGTGGAACTTCGCACCCCGATCTTGCCCAACGGATTGTTGATCGACTTGGAATTGAGCTTGGCCGTGTTGTCACGAGAAAGTTTAGCAACCTGGAAACATGGTGAGATCTCATTGAATAACTCATTAATTGCGTGTGGAAGATGTCATGTGTCCCGATTGTTCTCATTTCAGTGTCGAAATCCAGGAATCTGTCCGAGGAGAAGACGTCTATATCGTCCAAAGCGGTTCCGGTGAGATCAATGATAATCTCATGGAGTTGCTGATCATGATTAACGCGTGCAAGATTGCATCCTCGTGCCGAGTGACAGCGGTTATTCCCTGTTTCCCGTACGCTCGACAAGACAAAAAGGACAAAAGTCGTGCACCGATATCCGCCAAACTTGTGGCGAACATGTTATCCGTCGCTGGTGCTGACCACATCATAACCATGGATTTACACGCGTCGCAAATTCAGGGTTTTTTCGATATTCCGGTTGATAATTTGTACGCTGAACCAGCGGTTTTGAAATGGATCAAAGAAAACATTGATGAATGGCGGAATTCGATCATCGTGTCGCCGGACGCAGGAGGAGCGAAAAGAGTTACTTCCATAGCAGACAGGTAAGTGGATGTATTCGTGTCAAAAGAAAGCACCCAGTTCCGAAATTATCCAGCGTAAAAAGAACCAGGTGGAAAATTTTTTGGGGCGTCAGCCTTATCTTCTTTTGGAATCTCTATTACTTTCTAACGTGAGGAACGATTCGAAAGTGAAAGGAATAAAAATCTGTCGAACAAGTCTAATGCTCTGTAAGTAACGTAAAAACGAAAACGAGAGAAGAAAATTGTATCCCACGAAGCGATTGATTGTTGAATGAATGTTTTTTCCACTCCATATTCTATCCCGAGATTCTGTTCTATCTCGTTTACAGACTGAATGTTGAGTTCGCTCTTATCCATAAAGAGCGAAAAAAGGCGAATGAAGTCGCGTCGATGGTCTTGGTTGGAGACGTGAAAGACCGGATAGCAATTCTTGTTGATGACATGGCGGATACGTGTGGAACCATCTGCCACGCTGCTGAAAAGTGACCCATTGAATTTTGACTTCGATTGCAATTTTGTTTGCTAATTAGAAACGATTCCAGGCTCATGGAGGCCGGAGCGACGAAAGTGTACGCCATTTTGACTCACGGCATTTTTTCGGGTCCTGCGGTGTCTCGCATCAACAATGCGTGTTTTGAGGCTGTCGTAGTTACGAATAGCATTCCGCAAGACTTGCACATGAAGGACTGTCCCAAGATCCAGGTTTGAAATTTTGAAATTCATTACTGTATTCACGTAATTACTGGTGAACTCTTTCAATAACGAAATTCAGGGAACGAGAAAAAATTCTTTGTAGCGGAAATTCCGTTGTAGAGAACCATACACGGTAACATGGAAATAGAACCCTAAGAGAAGAAAAAAAAATCGTCATACAGATAAAGCAGTTGTAGACAAGATCATTGTAGAGAGAGTCCACCTGTATGATAAACTTCTAAATTTTATTTGAATTTTCCTTTGTTACAATTTTTAAATGGTCTGCTGAATTGAAGAAAATTCTTCCTTGAAAACAAGTATGATTCACATCAAAGCTTTGAAGAATTTTAAAAATGTTATACTGTACCTGCATATGATGAGCACACTTTTTCCTCTTAAATAAAAACAAATTGCGTGTACAGTACAGTGATATGAATGTACCGTATGCACATATTTTGACAGTCAGATGATCTAGTATATGGCTTGTAGATAGGAAAATATTATTTTGTCAAGATCTGCGAAATATTTTCTAATCGCTCGGACGTGATATGTGTTTGTTGTAATGCATGACTGACTTTTTTTCCTGGATTGCAGTGCATAGACGTGTCGATGATATTCGCCGAAGCCGTCCGTCGTACGCATAACGGAGAATCTGTTTCCTACCTCTTCTGTAATGTGCCGTACTGAGAAGCATTCAAACCGCAGAACGCGTTTCCCTGCCTGAGGGATTTTTGAACAGAGTTTTCCTGCGCTGGATGTGAGGTCTTCTTTTTTTTTTTTGCTTTTCTATCGTACAGAGACGTGATCTTTTCCGAATACCTGACCTCTGTGTTCAGATAACATCTCCGAGCGGAGCAAGTAGCATATCCACGATTTTCAGCTCAGTTCTGCACTCCCAGGCTGAAGGAAAAGTTCAAGCTGCTCCTGCACTTTGTATCCCAAGCAAGCCCATTTTCTTTTTTTTTTTGTGGAAAAGTTTGGAAATCTGTTCCCAAGAAACATGCAGCGGGTAAAGAACCTAATTGGTCATATTTTCTTGATAGAGACTTGAGAAACTGTATTTCTTGGCACTTGATCATGCTAAATTACCCCCCACCTTCCCGCGGAAACGATGCATCTCTGTATCACTTTCCTTCGTGCTGTTTGTAATTACCTGGGATACTCCACCTTTTCTTTTTTTCAGAGATCGGGTTAATTCATCGCTCATGTCCGTTGTCGATTGAAGAACATATTGTATTCACACGAAAATAAGAGCAACATTTTCCCTACAGTTTCAGACAGCTTCACGTGAAAAAAGTCAACAGGAAAAATACCTTCAAAATATTTAAATCTCATCAACTCGTCTGATTGAATTTCAAGCGAAATTAAATTCTAGTAGGGCGAAATACAGAAAACTTGAGCAAAGACATCCTTGGGCGACGTTTTGACGATAGTAGTTTACCTCACAGTGAGATGTAGTTTTGTAAAAAAAAAAAACTTGGTTTGATGGGAGTGTATGTCATCTTATGTTTGTGTGAATGCGGTAATAATAATGATCTGTGTTTCGGATGGGCCGAAAGACGCGCCTTTGGTTGCACTGACTTGAAAAGAACGTTGCGTTGACTTCCCGAGAATCTCTTTCGGTTTACATAGGAACAAAAGGCTGGGATTTATTTTATTTTTTGGCGTGATGTAAAAGCGGAGAACGGCCTTTTTCCTTAGAACGTTCTCAGCGTGTGTGCAATGAGCTTCATAATGTGTAATTCGTGAAGCACGGTCCGCGTCGTTGCGGCATTGTGTGTTTCATTCCTTTTTGTGCGGGTCGCTGTACTGAGAGCATTTCTACTTAGATGCATCCATGACGAGAGGAAACGAAAAGCAAAACGTTGTTGTGCAGCTGCGATAGTCGCGTGTTCGATTCTGTGCCACTGTGTATGTTTGAGCAACATCTTAGAGAGCTCGTTGGAAAATGGCGTGATTTGGAAGTGGACCTGGAAAAGGTGGACCCATTTTTGAACAGTGACTGGTTGGAGCTACAACTCGAAGGAAAAGTCAATTTTGACATAATGTACTGTACAGTGTTTGCTCAAGTACCACAGACACCCTAAAGTTTCAGGTCGAAATTGGATTAAAATGTATTCCGAAGTAAGGCGTGCGTCCCATTTCAAGAGCCTGAAAAATTGAAATACTGTATTATGAAAATAAAATGCATCAAAATTTCAATTTCGACATGATGTACAAAAGGATAGAATGTTGATTTTCCATTTTTATTCTTGCTGTTAAAATTCGTCTAAAATTCTCTGTTGGAATCAAGTATGATGGACTCCAAAGCATTTGGATACAATATTCATTCAAGTACAGTACCAAGGCATCCTCAAGGAAGACCGTTTTTCAGTCAAACATTTTTACAATATTTCATATTCCAGAAGATGCACATCCAATTTTTAATGCCTCTAAAACTGCAAAATTTCAAAAATAAGAAGACCAAAATTTTCATTTCAGGCATGAATTGATATTGAATTCAGCTAATTTTCAACTGTTACAGTAAGTTTTTCTGTTGCAATTGATCCAAAATTTTCCATTAGAATGAAATACTGTATAATATGCATGCCTGAACTTCTAAAACTTCTTTAGAAATGTATATCCACCTATGGCCCACTCCCCATTTTTCCTTTGAAATTTTGAAAAAAGGTGATTGTGGTACTTGAATGAATGTGGCCTTGAATGGTGATTCATGACTTGAATCAACGTCAGACAAATGTTTCTACAATCAACTGACATAATACGACTAGCATTCCCTCAAATATTGAGCCTGGATAATAAGATTTTCAGAAAAAGTTTATTTGATCATGAAAAAATGATGCGATGTGTGTGTCAGGCGTCGTTTTAAAGGTAAGTAAACATTAATCTGAAGGTTTTCTAAGGTTGTAGGTCCAACTGTGCAGATGTACATCATGTTTGGAAATCGGTCTACTGTTTTCTTCTGATCCACACCGTACTTGACATTGAATGCCTTCTCAGTACATCGCATTTTTGCAGGAGTTTTGACGTGTGTTCTGATAGAATGGTTGAGGAGAACGGAGATGCGGTCGACTTACCTTACGAGGAAAAGTTGAAATACTGTACTGTGATCGCGAGTCCGATGGCGTCTGAGAAAACGACCAACAAGTTGATGAAGATCGTTCGGAAAAGTGAGTTAATATTTTATAGTAACATATTTATATTTGATTTGTTGCCCATGTTTAAGATTCATCGATTTTGTTTCTAGTCGCCGAATTTTCTCTCGATTGTACAGTCATTTTGTAAATGAAAATTTCGTGTAATTCCAGGTGTCGATCTGAAGTCAATTTACTCCGGATTGAAGGACGTGCAGAAAGCTGTGCGCAAAGGAAAGAAAGGGTGAGCATTTTTACACAGTCATCATGATGCGCGAATGGGTTTTGCAAGATGATTTGCTTTCGTGTGTGTCTGTGTTTCAAGACTGGTGATCCTTGCCGGCGACGTGAGTCCCATTGAAATCATGTGCCACATGCCGAGTTTCTGCGAGTCCAAAGACGTCCCTTACGTGTTCGTCCCTTCACGAAAGGACCTGGGCATTGCCTTGAAACGGCAACGACCTTGCATCATGGTGATGGTGGTAGAGCATGAGGATACCCAAGACAGGTTCCAGTCCCTTGTTGCATCTGTGGCCAAGCTCCAACCTCACCATGAACCTCTACAACTTGAGACCTCATAATTTTTCTTCGGGCGAATTCCATTGTTTTCTAGACTGCGTGCGGATGGTGAATGAAAAAGTGCACGTTTCTTCTTGGGCTCAGGTCTGTTGCTTGATTCAGGTTTCGAGTACAGTACTGTAGTTCAAGAGTTCGCTCGGTCCATTTCATAGGCCATAGCTTGGCATTTGATTAAAGGGTTCACATAAACTGTGGATTGCGGGTGAAATTGACCGTGGAGGAAATTACTGAAGAAGTTCCAAGTACATGTTCTGTTTTCGATAACACAGTTGACGCACTCATGTTATATTTCATCAATAATCGGCAAGAGAAATCGGCGAATGTCAGAATTCAAGCATCACCAAGAATATTCATTTTTTGCAACTGAACCTGTATTAGATGAAAAATGTCTAAGTATCGCAAGATGGAATCCGTTCACTGTCGCAAACGACCTAGAAAAACTTCATAAACAAAATAATTTTGATAGAAATTAAAATCTACGCAAGAAGACTGACCAGAATGATAGAAGAATTCATAGGACAGGAGCGTCGGAATTCAACACACGGGGTCATTTCTTAGTGGAATGATCATCAAATTCCGCACAAAATGCGACGCAAACGAAAAATTCAAATTCCACAGATCGTCCGAAAATGCATCACCCAATCGGTCACTTGCATCAGGCGAGTGGCTCAGCTTTTCCGGATAGTTGATTCCCAGCAGACGAACTAGAAATTCGACAAGACAATTACGGTAGAAAAAATCTTGTCAACCCTTGGCCGTTTTTACAAAATCATATGCATTAAATTTTGGGTCAACATACAGCTCAAGCTACATCCAAGTCAAAATTCCAGCTAGCTAAGAACATTTTCAGAGGGTACTGTACAAATCGAGTTGTTGAATTCGTTACATAACGACGAACGCTCAAGTGTAATACTCATTCATCATTAATCATAGAAATTGTTACTAATGCACGTTGTCAGTAGTGTACTGCGCGAAAGAAAAAAAAATACGATCACAAATTAGTGGAGCTTCTATCGAGCGGAAAGAACCGAAAGTGAAATCATGATGCCCACCTGAAAACGGTGAAAAACGGAAATTCCGCCGTATCCGGCTCGATGAAATCAATTAGGAAACACACAGCGCCGGCAAGTCCTTCGAATAATCCCAGCTGAGACGTCGACTCTGCGGCTTTCGCAATTTCTTCCGTGTACAAGAATTCCGCAAATGCCGCGGCTTTTCTCAGATAATTCTTCTCCCCCGTCAGTCGGTAGAGAACCAGGAACACGTACCCATTCCCAGCAATGCCGTGACACAAACCAGGGCCTTTCTCGGTCAAGCCCAGCTCCCAAGTCACATCCGCGCATTTCCGACAACTCTCCAAATACTCGGCGTCTCCCCAAAGCCGGAATGCTGCAGCCATGAGATGCACCATACCTTCAGCAGCAACAAAAGAATACAGTAATAATTAACAGACCGCATGAATAAAAACTATTGTACTGCACTGTACTTCCATTTGAATAACTGTGGGAGACAGGTGCTCTCAATCTGTACCCCACTGAGCTGCAAGGGTTCATCAAAAACTAAACACAGGGATGTCTTCTGCAGATGCTCAAGACTTCAGGTGAAATTACTGTACAATCAAAATTTAGAGGAAAAAAAGGGGGTTGAATTATATTTGATTCTAATGGGGAAAATTTGTCCAATTTCAACACAAAAGTTACTAAATAAATAATTGAAGTAAATAATTTGAGCTATAAATAATTTAAAATTAGTTGAAATCAAGTTCAATTGATGTCTAAATTCAAATTTGGGTGCATTCTTCATTTTTGAAATGTTGCAGTTTCAGAGTCACTAAAATGAGGTGAACATATCTTATGATTTGAACAAGTGCAGTATTCTCACAATTTGAAGCCACAGGAAGCGAAAATGTAGAACTGTACTACTGTACACGACTTACCGTACTCAAATGTGTGGGAAATTATCATGTCTGAAACAAACAGCCCTTTTTTAAAGGGGAAGGGACACTCACCCGGGGCACCCTGGCACCAGCGCAGAGTTTCGGGATCATTTGTCCGAAGACAACCAGTCCCAGGTAAATTAGCACTGCTGGGGAAGTTCCCATTTGCAGATTGCAGAGACAGGATGTAGTCAACCGATTGCTTCACGTCTCTTTCCGCATATGCAGTTGATCTTAACCAATCAGGATACATCAAAAATGTCATGAGTATTGTTGAGAGTCCGTGACAAGGGCCTGAAACATTGTTTTCGGCATTTGCAAAAAATTAATCTAAAAATGTTTTCATCGCTGCTATAAACATATCCATGACGCAAAAGTAAGGTTTTAACATCACTGAAGAGAAAAAAACATGGTGAACGTTTATAATCTTGCAAAAAGCACATAAATCCAGTCAAGCCTAAATTTAGTGGCATCATTTGTCCTGGTACATTTTGTGACAGTAACTCAAGGGTGGTGTACATGAGAGGAAGGTTCAGTTCAAGGATGCTATACTTCCACTGCAGGCAAAATAAGCTTGCATGCAGAATTTGTTAGGTCATTAAATCTGTTTTATGGCCACAATAATAAGAAGCTATTTGAAGTTGAAATCCATGTTTATATACAGTACTATATTTCAATCTGTTGAATGTCAGAATAAATGTGATTTTTACACATAATGTGTAAAAATATTGTATCCAGTAAAAGAGCATAGCAGTGAATAACCAATATTTCCAGGAAAACTCCCACATTACTTATAAAATTGTCAATAAATGAAGGTGGCATGCAAGCTTTGATTAATGCAATCTTCGCTTCTTGGAAGATGCATGAAAAATGTTTGAATTTTCAAAATTGGCTTGGTTTCTTGATGGCCCGTGCTGATTTATTCCATTATCGCATTTTCCCCAACACTACAAAAAAATGCCACCTTTTATTACTGAAACTGTGTGGAAAACAGGTTCTAGATGCAATTCTTCAAAAATTATTTCCACAATAGATATGGGCCCAATTTTTTTAAATTCCCAACTTCCTTTGATGGAAAAATGGATAAATTTCTAAACGCGGAATCAAATAATTATCTTACTTCAGACCGCATTTCCTCTCTTAAATTTTCTACACGGATTTTGTACTCTACTGTATTCCCATCTTGATGAAAGAACTCAGAAAAGCTCACCGAGATATTCCACGCGATCGTAGCAATACATCAGGGGCGAAGGACTCCTCGTCCTCACCGCGTAGTCGCGACCCCGTTCCAAAAGCAACGTCAACACCACACTCAACTTTCCCCACTCCAACGGATTCGTGCCCAATTCAAACTCCAACCAACGGAGCGCACTCAAATACCCGGCCCGTCCGCAAAAGTACCCGTCCGAGCCGCAGGGCAAAAAGTCCGGAACACACAACCCGAGCCAGGCGTTCTTCACGGGACATAACGCGTCTCGCAAAGCGAGTCTCTGCTTGAGGTTCTTGAGCACCGCGACGTGGAGAACATGGACACTCATTGCACCCGGGATAAACGCGACGATGTCGTCCTGGCACCGGTGTTTCATCGGGTAGTCGTAGAAGTAGACGAGCGGGGGTGTGAGGAACTCGAGACCTTTCTCCAGGAATTTGGCGACTTGGCGATCGTCTTTGCAGCACAGGGTCTCCGACTTGGCGGCTTTTAGGTACATGTAGGCAAGACCCGCTATTCCGGAGTAAACCCCGCCTGATCGGGATTGAAAGAAAGAAAGTTCAACTCGACGCACGAAGGGGATTTCCAACTACTGTATACGGTGAAAGTCTTCCAGAGAAATGGCAGCGATTATCGGTAACGAAATTTTCAAGAAACACAGAACACACTTGCCTTGTAAAGTCTCAGCATCAATCTGATGACACGCCTCAATACGACGCATTGAATCCAGGATCCTCTCCTTCCACTTCAGCCCTTCTGCGCGACTTTCGTCACTGACTTGTGCGTAGTAATCCCCTTCGAAATCACCGGCCATTTTGACTACACAAATGACAAATCCACCATCGAACAGTACAATCAATTCGTTTCTAAAAAAGAAAACACGAAGCCATCACATTCCTAAAATTTTACAGATTGCAAACACATCCCTTCAACAATCGGTCTACAGATCAGTTCAATTCCACCAAGTGATCCTGTAAAAAAATGGGAGATATTTTTTTTTTATTCTACTTGCATGCAAGTCTAAATCAATCTCGCAAAATTACTTTGGGTATGATACTTCAAAAGTAATCGCGAACACATTAAAATAGAGGCAGACTCTCTCTACAACGAAATTCAAGGGACACAAAACAATTCCTTGCAAAAGCAGAATCCCATGGGACCTAAAAAAAGTTGTTGTAGACAAGATCAGTGTAGCAATTGAGTGACAAATGTTCTCGATACAAAGAATTATTTCAATCCCATACGATGCTAAAGGGGTTCTCCACAATGAAATTCTTTCCACACCGGATTTTTTCTTGTCCCTGATCCCTCGATGTTCGTTGTAGAGAGATTCCACTTGTAGATGTCATCGCGTGAACTCGTCGCACACATGATATGCTTTTCTTGTATTGTCAAAACAAAAATAAATGTAAGTCGACAAAGGAGAATGACACACGTGCAAAGATAAAGTGTTAAATCCAGAAATACTTCGTCGATTGGATGGGTTCAAAAACAGTGCAATGGGGGAAAGAAAAAAAATATGCTCAAATAAGGAAGGAGCAGGATTTCCGCAGAAACTTCGCTCGTGTATTTCTCAATGATTCCATACTGTTGAAAGCCTTGAGACGAGACATAGATGGAACAAGCAAGTGAGCACTCGAGACAGAAGAAGCGGAGTGGTGATGAACAGAGTCAAAAAGTCGTAGCACAAGCCAAAACGAAAAGGAGGGAACGTGTCCCCGTATACAAGACCACGGCCGCCTAGCTGCCTCCCTGAGTGGGACTTCTGGCCAGCGCAACCAAGAACGTATCACATACAAACGAATCCATGAAAAAAACTTACATGCAAAAAAACTGAAAACAAAATTAGAAGACAGAGCAAAGATCGGGATCGGGGGTTCTCACTCGAATTCCTCTTGAAAAACCCGTCGTCCGTTTTCGGAGAGGCGCCAAGCATGGAAGCGGGTTACAAATAATAAACGCGTCTCACACACTGGCCAAACGAAAAAAAAAAAACTTTCAAATTCGCGTTCCACAACTGCGTAAGAAATAAAAAAAAGCAACGGGGTTTTTCGTCATCCCCCCCGAGACCGCCCTTCTCGAATCCAGCGGAAACCTCTATCACATTAACGTTGACAACGTCTCCATTCGCAGAAAATCAAAAGATCACCCATACCACCCCCGCACACGGAAGCATCCGTCCACACTGCCGCCAGTTTCCTCCCGAAACTCAGATGCCTTGATCTGATTAATACCTCTAACAGAAACCGAAGCGAGTTAAGGAAAGTCATCATGACGCCAGGCAAAAAAAAAACAAAAACGAAAGGCGCTTTCGCTTGCTTTGTTTGGAAACACGCCGGTGCGCTTGTTTCTTCATCCAATCCAATTTGTTCCTCCTCCTCCTGCTCTTCTCGGACGACAGAATTCTTTTCTTCTTCCGGCCTGTTTCTCCTCTTGCCGCAAGGCATGGGACTCCAATCATTAGGTCAGATGCTGCATCACTGCCCTCAGGGCATACAGCAGCTCTGCTTCCATTCTCGCCTCCATAACCATCAGCAACACGTGCACCTGCGAGAAGCCAGAGATGAATCTCAGCAACGTCATTTGCTGACTTCGTGCATCACGACATGGAAAGAGCATATTCTGGGATTCTGATCGCAGGTTAATTTTAAAACCCCACTTTCCCATCTGTCACTGAATGGCACCTTCGAATTCTTGTACGTATCACACTTCTGATAAACCATGACTTTTCGTACAGCACATCCATATTTATTTTAAACTGAACGTGAATTTCATCGAAAACGACGCGAATTTTGACACTGACGCTCTTGAGATGATACACCTTTCAATGATTTCCAGAAAATGGGAAAAATTATTCAAAATACTACTCGGTTCGAGAAAAATTACCGCGCATGAATAATACAAGCAAGAAAAAAGGCAAGGGGAAGATCACCGTACCCCCTACAAAATAATTCTTCGGATTTCAATTTGTATCGAAATCTTATCAAGATTCAAGTTCGATTCGGTAAGAACATGGTGCGGTAATACAGGTGGACTCGCTCTATAATGAAATTCGTTATAAAGAGAAAATCGTTGTAGCAAGTCCATCTGCATTATTGAAGAAAATTACATGAGTTGATGCAGACGATTTTCCATCAATGATCCCTCAAACGCTCTGAGAGCAGAAACCGAAACAACAAAAAATCATTCAATTTTAGGATAAATACTCAAGGTCATTGAAGAGTTGCGCGAATTCTGCTAGGCTACGTCTTGATAAATTTCACTTCGGTGGCACATCAAATATCAAAAATTAAGTAAGACAACACCAACAAGGACTTTCAAACAAAAAAGTCGTTCTAAAAATCGAGACACAATCAAGACGATTGAGAGCGGAAACTCTATCAGGAGAAAAATGATCTACTTTAAACAAAAAAAGGGTACCAGCAATTCAACGCCAATGAAGGGTTGCGCAAAGGCATCTAGTTTGGTTATGCCAAACTTCGGCTCTTCATAGAGATGTCATCAAAAATGAAGAAAGACGACATCCATCAACAAAACAATTTCTTTCTCAATCAAGACATACCTTTTCAGAATACTGGAGTTCAGCCATGGCATAGCGCAGGTCGTCACCGGACAATCTCTCCGGACAGCAGCAAGCTCGTTTAATGAAAGTTTTAAGCTCCCTAGACAACAACTGGTTGACCTCCTGGTAATTGTAATCATCATGTCTACGCAGAAAAAAAAAAAAAGACTCGTCAAGTCACTGAGCATTCCACAGAGGAAAGGTCAAACACATTCACCTGATGCCGTAGAGGCACAAGATGTAGTTCCAGACGGCGCGGCGGAACTTGGATGTGTCTACATTTCGGATGGTGGACAGGGTATTGTACGTAAGGTTGTACGCTGTGCGGTGCTTATCATCTAAGTAAACGCTGCTCACGTCGGAGTACAGGCGACTCAACAGGCTAAACCCCTGGTCCTCCCACGAACAGTCCTTGAGGGATAACATAGAAACACAATACTGTACGATCAGACAATGGCACTCACTAACACTTCATCGAATTCAAACGCGAAGATTATAAGACATTTCAACGGCTACAGCATTCACGAGAAAATACAATTCAATCCTGTTCCAGTTTCACGTTCTTTCATTTTTAATTATTCGATTGTTTTACTATTACAGTAATTATCTCCTGGTGAAAAATATTAGAAGTCAAATACCTTTCTATGTCAAATTGTTTTCAAGTCATTTAACAGTGCATTAAATAACCCTCTAACTTGTAGGCTTTCCTTCTCGAACCTCCATAAATTGAATTTTCTGGAGGCATTTTGGCTGATATTTCATTGACAAAGTAAAGAGAATAAAATTGTAACTTGATGTGTTTTGAAAGTAAGTGTAAGAATAATTGGACAAATGAACCCTTGCCTCCAAGTTCAGCATCCTGTCAACTCATTCAAGAAGCAATTTAAGGCCCAAAATATTAGCAATTACAATTTTATGATTTCTTCTTTCCTTCCACCAATAAAAATGCTTGTCTCAAAATATCTTCAACTCGAATTTTTCCTTGCTTGAAGTTTGCCTTAGAAGAGGTTTGACTGTAGAAACACTTACACCTTATTGACTTAGTATTATGCACCCACGAGTAAGACTTGCACAAAAATTTTTTTAGGTAAAAATGTTGATAAAATCCCATGCCTGAGTAAGACATGTACCACATTCTTTGTGACTGTAAAACCACAACATAAGAACGCCCAAATTCGAATTTAGACATTAATTCAACATGACCATGACCAACTCTCAATAATTTCCATCAAAATCAAGTACTGTATAATGCACACACAAACTTTTACAACTTTTTGAAATTTGTACACCCAACTATAGAGCGCACCCCACATTTTCCTCTCAGATTTTAGAAAAAAGGTGTGCGTGGAACTTGAGTAAAAGCAGAGTACAAGCAGACTCCAAAACAAAATTCTCTCCCAAGTGAATGTTTTCAATGGGCCCTTGAATTTTGTTATACTGTAGAGCAGTGTTCCCCAACCTGCAGCATGTGTACCAGCACCAGTAGAAATGAAGTCTGTTACCTCTATTTTGATTTTTGGAAAAACAATGGCAGTTGAATTATCTGATAAAAAATGAAAGTTGGCTTTTCTCCTAATAACACTTTCACCTGCTGAACTCAACTAATGTATATCAATATTTTTTACATTTTAAGAAACCTTTCTTCAAGCCCACCTTGCTAATTTTTTGAAGATATTCCACAATAGCGGCTTCCTTTGTTCTGCATTTTTGCAACAAAAAAGCAAAAGCATATCAAGCAAAACTTTTCCAAGTATGCAAAAATTTCATGAGACTTTGATCGTCCCCAAAAAATTTCACGGAAATTTGCTGGTCAGTGGGCCACAAAACGTTGGGGAAGACTGTTATAGAGAAGATCTATTCAATAATATGGTTAGAGAAATCTTTGGGACCATTAAAATATTTTTATACAGAGGAAAATAGTCGTAGACAAGATTGTTGTAGAGTCCACCTGTATATACAGAGACGGAATTGAGAGCAAGAGATATCACAAGCCAAACTCACTCAGAAGCCGGTTGAACGCGACATTATCAGTGTCAAGCAAGCAAGCAAACAGACAGACAGGCAGGCACGCACGCACGCAAGCAAACAAACAACAGACCTGGATTCGGAGAGTAGGACACACGGCGGGTTGGTTCCTGCCGACGAAGTCTTGGTAGACAAAGTCGCGATCCACCGTGAACAGCGCCAGGGCGTCTGAGCCCTTTTTCACCACCTGACGCGCAGCGATAGGTAAAGGCGGCTTCTTATTGTTGGCCTGCTGTTGCGGGGCGGGCGTCGGTGGCCCAGAAGGGTTGGTCTCCTCCGACTCGATGACGGACGCAAACCGCTTGTTTCGCTCCTCGGGATCGTCTTCCCACTCGCACTCGGACTCAGAAAGGGATTTCATCTGGTCCATCAAGTAGCGGATTTGCTCGGGCACTTTCCCTTCATTTTCCAGCGAAGGTTCTCGCTCGTGTTCTACAGTTTCAAATTATATTTTGAAAATTTAAGAGAAAAGAATATTGCACAATCGTCGACCAATGAAATCAGTACACCTGTCACGCATGACCTTCCTTTTGAACAACCTTGGAGGACAAAAGATAAAAGCTACTGATAATGTTTGCAACTGCGACGTGACTAAGCTAGAAACTCATCTACCAGTCAGTACCTCCACGTCAAAGCCATCCCTCCCTATTTTCCAACACTGAAATCTCCACGATTTTTCGTCTCAACAACTCAAAAGTAATACAGTACAGTCAAACGTTGATTTAGATCCATCATCTGTCCTGGCACATTTTGCTGTACGAAGTGAGTGTCACTAAATCAAGGAAGGTTTAGTTTAGGATTCCTACCAGTGTAGGCAAAATACGTTTTTTTGCATAATTGTATCCGGTGACTCAGACACCATAGTTTCTCTAACGGTAGTAAACTCCGTGTTTACCTTATGAGGAGGTTTATGTGATGTATGTAAACTATTCTGTCTCTTATAGTCTAAAAATGAGTGAACGAAAGAAGTAAAAGAGCCAAAAAGCCTTTTTAAAGGCCCTGTTTAACAGTTACATGAAGTGCCATCATGCAGGAATTGCCAATGTTCTCAAGAAAACTCCTAATTTACAAACAACATTTTCAATAAGCGTCATACACCAGCAAAAATCATAAAAAAATTCAAATTTTGCAAAAGAATTTTTAAAATTAAACCGAGCTTTTATGCAACCATATGCGTATGATTCTTAGTAGTAACCCAAATGTATGCCCAGAAACAAACCTTGATTTCTTTGATTTGGTTCAAATTTTTCCTTCAGGAGAGAGTTATTTTTGTGGCGCTGAGTGATACAAAATTGTGGTTTACCTTACCACACTAGAGGGAGATTTGCTGCAGGGAAATTTGTGGCACTATGCGAGGGTTGACTGTACAGTATCGCGAATCTTGAACAAAGCAAACCCACTAAACCTCATACAAAATTACGATTACCCGAAATACCACGATGATCAAACCACATGCTACATAGCTTAAGAATCACATTGCCATTTTAAAGGCCCATTATTCCTGCGCATAACTGGTCCAAAAAAAATTTAAGGATCACTCAAACCTACGCGTAATCAAGCAAAACTTACGTCAAACAAGGCAGAACCTCCATCAAACTAACCTGACCTTACACATGACCAATTCACTTCAAACTAACCTCGCCATACATAAAACAGAAGTAATTTAATCGGAGAACTGTCCTCACACAAAAAAAAATATCAACATAAAATGAAGCAAGATTTTCTACCCCTCCACACTTTTTAGAACTTCAAAGACCGCGAAGAAAATAGGCTCTCAAGCCTATTGCAGCCACAAATAAAAACCGCTGTTCCTTGGTACTCAGGTATTCATCAAACACTGAAAAATTAATACAGGTGGAATCTCTCTACAATGATCTTTTATGCGCGGATTTTCTCTCGAGAACGATTTTTTTGTCCCACAGCTTTTTCTCTCAATATTATTAGGGCTCTCTATAACGAAGTTCTCTCTGTAACACATTTTTTTCTGGTCTCTTAAGCTTTGCTGCAGAGAGTCCACCTTTAGAACACACGAAAAAGCCCACATTCAAAAAGTCACTGTATCCCACAAACGAAAACGGTCCTTGTTTGTATCGAGGTCTTCCTTTTTTGAGAGTATTGCTCTTTTATTCCGACTGTTCCAACCCCTTTATGAGAAAGTTCTTTGGCTTTCAGAAACTTCTCTTACTTTGTGCATCTTTCTTCGTAACTCGCGAGCTCACCATGAATGAGGCATCCCGCAGACGAAGGTTTCCCACCAACACACTCCATCTCTTCGATCCCAGTCCCGTAGATGAAACTCGACAAGGAATGGAAGTGACTCAAGATCACAATCGCGTGTACAAGTTCGTTCAAGCACCAGCTCTTGCTCACCACCAAATCCTGCACATATTCCCAAAAATGGTCAACACTCGACGCACAAAAACTTACACGTCACCGAAAAGAACAAGACTGACCCGAATCATTTGTTTCGTGATCAGCCAGGGTTGGTGTGCCATGATCTTGTTCAGAAAGCGTTCCAAGACGTCAAAGAGGCCTCGTAAAAATTTCAGGTCGGTTGAGGAAACCGGCGGTGACAAGTCTATGAGTAGGGCAAGGTAAGCCTTGTTTATGCTCGTGACCACAGCACTGCGGGGGAAAAGAAGCGAAGAACATACTACTGTAGCTTGGGTTTCAAAACAATGACTTGGCTCTGCCTCACGCTATGAGGACAATACAGTAATCTCGAGGACAAGATACAAAAATATCTCCAACACATCAGGAAATGAGGATTTTTCAATTAAATATTCAATAGGTGGACTTGTGCATGGCTCTCAACTTTCACGACGCACGCCCAACAGGTGTCGCTACACCAACTTCTACGAAAAGGATTCCACGATTTCAAATTCTGAATACTGTACTGTACTTGCCAAGTAAACCTCACATTTCACACTTGAAGTAACCCAGACAAGGCACTCAAATGTAAAAAATGTATTTAAATCAATTAACATAGCAGAGGATGATGCAGCGACACCTACCTAATGCGACGAGATTAAAGAGAACAAGGGAACAAAGCCGCGTGTGTGGAATGGAGGCACTGAAGTAAGTACCGCGGGACTTGGTGGAAACAAGCACAGAGACGTTTCAGTCCCTTTCGCAAAACATGGGACTGTACTCGGGGGATATTATCCATTACAATAAACTTAATTGCCTCTATATATACAGTACATGCATACGAAGTCTGAAATACAATACAGTGATGCCACACTTACGGAAAATAATTCGCTCCAAGAAGTGGCTCATATAGTAAAGAACCCATTTCCTCATGTAGTACTTGTCGGGTAACAATAAGTGACGCATTCTAAGTGAAAGATTTCAAATTTTCAAAATCTGAAGTGTGGCAGTCCTGTGTCAAAGTCTTATTTTCTATATCAGTTGACCATCCAAAATTCTATCTATATACCGGTATATCCTTAATGAAGATGGCCAGGTGATATGCTGCGCTTACTCTAGTACCAGGTGCACCTTTTTTTTTTTTCTTCTCAAAATTGAGTGGGGAAAAAGGGGCGTGCATCATGGGCAGGTATAGATTTTTCAGAAGTTCAGGTGCGCATTATATTTGACTCCAATGGAAAATTTTGGAATAATTTCAACAGATAACCTATTGTAATGGAAATATTTAACTGACATGGAAAATTAGTTGAACTCAGGATCAATTCATATCTAAATTCAAAGTTGGGTTTTCTATTTTCAGCATATTGCATCTTCATAGTCACTAAAAATGGGGTGTGTTTTTTACTCTGGGATACCATCATTTCATGAAAATTTTTGAATGAAAAAACCTCTGATGCGCATCTTACTTAAGGGAAAATAACCAGCTGATGGAGCGAGTTCAGTACTGTATTTGCAATATAAATATTCCCAACAAAGAGGGCAGAAGAAATACTAACCTGTTTGAAAGCTACATAAAGCCAAAAAATGAGTAATTTGAATTTGCATGCCTGTGGGCAAGCCATCTAGTATCCATGCAAAGCTTGTTGTCTTGCCCCTGCATGGATAACTTGGAACAGTTTGACACACTTCAAGAAAGGATTTGTTGAGCAGGACACAGTTTGTCCTGTCAGGCCTTTTTTT